TGAGCTTATGCGGTCCACCCACCTTGGCCTCCCAAGTGCTGGGATTACAAGCATGAGCCACTGCACCTGGCTAGTTTTTTATTTTTTTTGAGACATAGTCTCACTGTCGCCCTCTGTAGAGTGCCATGGTGTCTTCGCTCACAGCAACCTCAAACTCTTGGGCTCAAGTGATTCTCTTGCCTTAGCCTCCCTAGTAGCTGGGAATACAGGCGCCTGACACAACGCTTGACTATTTTTTTTTTGTTTGCTTGTTTAGCAGGCCCAGGCTGGGTTTAAACCCACCAGCCCCTGTGCACATGGCTGGCACCCTAACCACTAAGCTACAGGCGCTTGAAGTTTTTCTACTTTTTTTTTTTTATTAAATCATAGCTGTGTACATTAATACAGTCATGGGGTACAGTGCTGTTTTTATATACAATTTGAAATATTTTCATCAAACTGGTTAATATAGCCTTCATGTCATTTTCTTGTTGTGTTAAGACATTTATATTCTACATTTAGAAAGATTCACATGTACCCTTATAAGATGAACCATAGGTGTGATCCCACCAATAACCTCCCCTCCACCCATCCTCCCTCCTTCCCTCCCCTCCCTCTCCCCGTTCTATAACCCAATTATAAAGTTTTTCTACTTTTAATAGAGATGGGGTCTCCTCCTTGCTCAGGCTTGTCTTTACCCCCTGAGCTCAAGCAATCCACACACCTTGGCCTCCCAAAGGCATGAACCACTGCACCCATCTGAAGTTGCTTTAAATTGAATAGTGCGGGCTTGGCACCTGTAGCACAGTGCTTAGGGTGTTGGTTGCATACACCGAGGCTGGCAGGTTTGAACCAGGCCCAGGCCAGCTAAACAAGAATGGCAACTGCAACAAAAAAATAGCCAGGCACTGTGGTGGGTGTCTGTAGTCCCAGCTATTTGGGAGGATGAGGCAAGAGAATCTCTTAAGCCCACGAGTTTGAGGTTGCAGTGAGCTGTGACACTACAGTACTCTATGATGGGCAGCATAGTGAGACTGTCTTAAAAAAAAAAAAAAAGCCTAGTGCAGTGGCTCATGCCTGTAATCCCAGCATTTGGGAGGCCAAGGTGGGTGGACTGCCTGAACTCACAGGTTCAAGACCAGCCTGAGCCAGAGTGAGACCTTGTCTCTAAAAATAGTTGGGTGTTGTGGTGGGCACCTGTAGTCCCAGCTACTTGGGAGGCAAGAGAATCGCTTAAGCCTAGTTTGAAGTTGCTATGAGCTGTGATGCCATGGTACTCCACTGAGGGCTACAAAGCGAGACTCTGTCTCAAAAAATAAATATATAAATAAATTTAGTAGCGCCTCTTACTTCTCAAAGGAGAAGACCGGCAGATTCCCACATGTAAGCTGAGGTTTTCTTTGGGCAAACTTGTTTCCTCTAATAACTGGAGGTTTGATCCTCAAGTCTTGAGTGAGTGAGAGTCCTTTCTGCATTGGACTGATTTAATGAAACCGATCATACACTGGTTATCTTTTTATATTTAAAAGAAATTTGAAGACCAACTTGCTGATACCACATTTAAATTACGATGAATGGTAATAAACTTTTCTGATTTTAGTGAGTTTGCTATTTTGTAAAAAAAAAAAAATAAAAAAATAAAAAAAGCACGTCTTCCCCTTCCCTCCTTTCAGTGGTTTCTAAGTGTTCTTCAACTTGCAAAGGGTGAAACAACTCAAATTGTTATGTTGCACACAGTACCTTTGTAACTATAGCCGTACCCTGAAAATCAGGGTAGGGGACTATTGGCCCTTCTAATATTGATTCTCTTGATTCTACCACCTCTACCTGTTCATCCCTGGATTTAACTTCATTTCTGGGTTCTCACTAAAGACACATCAGTTTCCTTTTTTTTTTTTTTTTGAGACAGAGCCTCAAGCTGTCATCCTGGATAGAGTGCTATGGCATCATAGCTCACAGCAACCTCCAACTCCTGGGCTCAAGCGATTCACCTGCCTCTGCCTCCCAAGTAGCTGGGACCACAGGCATCCACCACAACACCTGGCTGTTTTTTGGTTGCAGCCATCATTGTTGTTTGGCGGGCCTGGGCTGGAGTCAAACTCACCAGCTCAGGTGAATGTGGCTGGCGCCTTAGCCACTTAAGCCACAGGCGCCGAGCGCACATCAGTTTCCTGTAGGTATTATACAATGTTCAGTAAATAATTAAGCTCCTACTATGTTACAAGCATTACTCTACTAGGGTTTAGGGTTATAAACACAAGGCACATCATTTATTGACTAAATCTGGATGGTGATTGTGTGTAGTGTTGGTGTACTAGTAAAGAGCAAAACCATGTTTCTTTCTTTCTTTTTTTGGAGACAGTCTCACTGTGTTGCCCCAGAATAGAGTGCTGTGGCTGTATAGCTCACAGCAACCTCAAACTCTTGGGCTCAAGTGATCCTCCTCTCACCTCTACCTCCCAAGTAGCTGGGACTACAGGTTCAACACCCAGCTAGTTTTTCTATTTTTTGTAGCGACAGGGGTCTCCCTCTTGTTCAGCCTGGTCTGGAGTTCCTGAGTTCAGGCAATCCACCTGCCTCGGCCTGCCAGAGTGCTAGGATTATAGGCATGAGCCACCCTGTCTAAAAAAAAAAAAAAATTTTGAGACAGGATAGAGTGTAGTGGCATTATTATAGCTCACTGCAACCTCAAACTCTTGGGGTCAAATTATACTGTCTCAGCCTCCTGAGTAGCTAGGACTAGGGTCATGTGTCAGTATGTCACCCTTGGTAGAGTACTGTGCTGTCACAGCTCACAGTAACCTCAAACTCTTGGTCTTAAGTGATTCTCTTGCCTCAGCCTCCCAAGTAGCTGGGACTGCAGATGCTGGCCACGATGCCCGGCTATATTTTTTTGTTGTTGCAGTTGTCATCGTTACTTTAGATGGCCTGGGCCAGGTTCGAACTCGCCAGCCTTGGTGTACATTGGTGGCGCCCTACCCACTGACCTATGGGCACTTCCCAAAACTATTAACTTCTATGGAGGAAAAAATAATTCAAACAATTTTTTTTTGAGACAGAGTCTGCTGCCCTCTGTAGTATGCTATGGTGTCACAGCTCACAGCAACCTCAAACTCTTGGGCTGAAGTGATTCCCTTGCCTGAGCCTCCCAAGTAGCTGGGACTACAGCCGCCAGCCACAACACCCAGCTAGTTTTTCTATTTTTAGTAGAGACAAGGGTCTTGCTCCTGCTCAGGCAATCCACCCTCTTGGCCTCCCAAGTGCTGGAATTATAGGCATGAGCCACTGCACCGGCCTTAAATAATAATGTTAGAATTAGTGGTTTTCTCTTTTTGTTTCCCTTAATGCAACCAGTATTTTCATTGAAAGAGAAGACATATAAATATGAAAGGGGGAAAAGTGGGAAAGAACCCTGTTGTACTGGATTTAAATTGGAGGTATTAATTAATTAAAGTATTTAAGCTCTCTCCACTGAAGGGGCCTGTAAGCAATGATACCCCAGATCTTTCTTTCTTTGAGTCTCATTCTGTCGTGCTGGGTCGAGTGTGGTGGCAATATCATAGCTCCCAAAGTGTTGGGACTACGGGCGTGAGCCACCGCGCCAGGCCCATGTAATGTTTTCAAGACACCTTGCCTGGATTCTTTCAAAATCAAAATTCTTTCAAATTTTGTGCCACGAAGAACAAAAAAAAAGGGCAGTCTGGATCCTGTACTAAAGGAAGATGACCAAATATAACGCATGAACCTTTAATGTATCCTAGGAAAAATGTAAAATGCCCCAAACTACTAGAACTGGAGAAATTTATATACGGACTGTACGTTAAACAATATTCACTTAAATTTTAAAAATGTGGGCGATGCTTGTGGCTAAAAGGAGTAAGGCGCCGGCCCCATAT